ATTTGTTGGCATATAGTTTTTCATAGTATTCTCTTATAATCCTTTGTACTTCTGTGATATCCACTATAATTTCTCCTCTTTCATTTCTAATTTTATTTATTTGAGCCTTCTCTCTTTTTTTCTTAGTGAGTATGGCTAAGAGTTTGTCAATTTTGTTTATCACCTTAAAGAACCAGCTCTTTGTTTCATTGGTACTTTCTACTATTTTCTGGTTTCAATTTCATTTATTTCTGCTCTAATTTTTATTATTTCTCTGCTTCTGCTGACTTTAGGCTTTGTTTGTTCTTCTTTTTCTAAATCTGTTAGGTGTAGTTTAAGATTGCTTATTTGAGATTTTTCTTGTTTGTTAAGGTGTGCCTGTATTGCTGTGAATTTCCCTCTTGGGTCTGCTTTTTCTACATCCTATCTGAGTTGTTATGGTGTATTTTCATTTTCATTTGTCTCCAGATATTTTTTGATTTCTCCTTAATTTCTTCAGTGATCCATTGGTTGTTCAATACCATATGCTTTAGTCTCCAAATATTTGTCCCTTCCTCACCTTTTTTTTTCTACTTGATTTCTAGTTTCATAGCATTATGGTCAGAAAATATGCTTGATATGATTTCAATCTTAAATTTATTGAAGGTTGCCTTGTTTCCCAACATATGGTCTGTCCTTGAGAATGTTCCATGTGCACTTGAGAAGAATGTGTATTCTGCTGTTTTTAGATGGAGTCTTCTATATATATCTATTAAGTCCATGTGGTCTATTTTTTCATTAAATCCACTATTTCCTTGTTGACTTTCTGTCTGGATGATCTATCCATTGATGTACGTGGGGTATTAAAGTCCCCTACTATTATTGTGTTGTTGTTAATATCTCCCTTTATGTTTGTTAATATATGTTGCTTTATGTACTTTGGTGCTCCTGTGTTGGGTGCATATATATTTATAATTGTTATGTCTTCTTGGTGCAGTGTCCCTTTTATTATTATATAATGCCCCCATTTGTCTCTCATTGCTTTTTTTATCTTGAAGTCTACTTCGTCAGATATAAGTATGGCAACACCTGCTTTCTTTTGTTTGCCATTAGCTTGGAGTATTGTCTTCCATCCCTTCACTCTGAGCCTATGTTTGTCTTTAGAACTGAGATGTGTTTCCTGGAGGCTGTGTATTCTTGGGTCTTGTTTTTTAATCCATTCTGCCACTCTTGTGTCTTTTGATTGGGGAATTCAATCCATTTACATTTAGAGTGATTATTGATACACGAGGGCTTAATTCTGCAATTTTATCACTCATTTCTGCAAGGGAATGTTCTGTCATTCCCTTGTTTGTTGTCCCTTATATTTTGGACTACCAATTCAGTTTGGTAGTTCTTTATGATGGTTTTCCTAGTTTTCTCTTTATTTGTCATCTGTGTCAGTGTTCTGATTTTTTTTTAGTGGTTACCAAGAGGTTTGTATAAAAAATCTCATAGATGAGATAGTCCATTTTCTGATGGTCTCTTATTTGCTTAGACTAAGCCAATTCCATCCCTTGCCTCTTCCCCTTCTAAGGTATTATTCTCACAACTTATTCCATCTTGTATTGTGTGTTTGGGATTAAAATGACAAGATTATATTTAATTTTGATGTTTTCCTTCCCTTTATCTTTAATGTTTATAGTTAAGTGTTTGCTAGCCTGTTCTGATAGAGAGCTGCCATTTTCTCTACCTATTTATCTCCTTGTTCAAGGCTTTGTCATGCCTTTCTTTTTTTTCGGATATCAGGGGCTTCTTAAGCATTTCTTGTAGGGAAGGTCTTGTGGCAATGAACTCCCTTAGCTTTTGTTTATCTGAGAAAGTTTTTATTTGTCTGTCCTATCTTCAGGATATTTTTACTGGATAGAGTATTCTTGTCTGAAAGTTTTTGTCTTTCAGAATTTTGAATATATCATTCCACTCTCACCTAGCCTGTAAGGTTTCTGCTGCAAAATCTGCTGAAAGCCTGATAGGGGTTCCTTTGTAAGTTATTTTCTTCTGCCTTGCTGCCCTTAATGTTTTTGTTTGTTGACTTTTGTTTTTTTGTTGACTTTTGCCAGCTTTACTAGTATATGCCTTGGAGAAAGTCTTTTTAGGGCCGGCCCTGTGGCTTAGTGGTTAAGTGCGCACACTCCGCTACTGGCGGCCCAGGTTCAGATCCTGGGCGCGCACCGATGCACTGCTTCTCTGGCCATGCTGAGGCCACGTCCCACATACAGCAACTAGAAGAATGTGCAACTATGACATACAGCTATCTACTGGTGCTTTGGGGGAAACAAAAGGAGGAGGATTGGCAATAGACATTAGCTCAGAGCCAGTCTTCCTCAGCAAAAGAGGAGGATTAGCATGGATGTTAGCTCAGGGCTGATCTTCCTCACAAAAGAAAAAAAAAAAAGAAAAGCACCGCAAAAAAAAAAAGTCTTTTTACATATATAAAATATGTAAGTAACATATAGTTAGGAGATCTATTAACTTCTTTCACTTGTATTTCCAGCTCCTTACCCAGGTTTGGGAAATTCTCAGCTCTTATTTCTTTGAGCAAGCTTTCTGCTCCATTCTCCTTCTCTTCTCCTTCTGGAATACCTATAATCCTTATGTTACATTTCATAATTGAGTCAGATATTTATCAGAGAATTTCTTCATTTTTTTTAGTCTTAGTTCTCTCTCCTCCTCCATCTGAAACATTCTATATTTATGTCCTCCAGACTGCTGATTCTCTCCGCCATAATATCAGCTCTGTTATTCAGGGAGTCCAGATTTTTATTTATCTCATCTATTGTGTTTTTCATCTCCAGCATTTCTGATTGGTTTTTTGTTATAATTTCAATCTCTTTTGTGAAGAATTCCCTCTGTTCATTAATTTTGTTCCTGATTTCATTGAACTGTCTCTCTGTATTTTCTTGTAACTCATTTAGTTTTTTTATGGTAGCTATTTTGAATTCTCTGTCATTTAGATTATAAATTTCTGTGCTTTCAGCATTGATTTCTGGGTACTTGTCATTTTCCTTCTGGTCTGGAATATTAATATATCTCTTCATACTGTTTGATGGTGTGAATTTGTACCTCCTCATAGTGATACTATCTGGTTGCAGCTTCTACCTGCCACCATTGGGTAGGGATCAAGAGCTGTGTATTCTGAGCATGCTGCAATCTGTGGCTCACTCCCTCACAGTTGCTGCTTTTCTATCATCTGCACAGGTGCTCTGGCCGATCAGCTGAGCTGGAACACTGGACCAGGGGAGAGGTGCTTGCCTTCATGTGTGATCCTGGGGGCATTGTCGCCCTGCCCTGTCTTAGGATGCTGGCTTTATGAAGACACCCCTGCAATAGCTTAGCCACCTCTGTGTGGGGCTTTCTCACTGGCTGTGAGGGAACTTGGAGAGTGAAGGTGTTCTTGCGAAGGGCCACCCCTCTGCCTCTCCTCTCTGAGACAAGCATGGTCCTGCGCCCTGGGTCACTGCCATTGAAGGAGGGAGAGGAGATCCCCTTGCCTCTTTCCACTTCCTCCGTTGGGGTCCAGCACCTTCATCTTCAGGGATGGCTGTGTGGGTCTCTCAGACGTCTTTTATTTTGTGTCAATATCCTCTATTTGTATATGAATGTCCTTTACTTTGTATCTTAGGGGGGAGAGTCTAAGGGAAGAGCTCACTCTGCCGTGATGCTGATGTCACTCCCTCAATCATTCTTAACCAGGATTCTATAACTGGAAAGAAAAAAAAAAAGGAGTTGATATCAATCTCCAGATAAGTGTATTAGAGAAAAAGAGGACATTATCTGGTCAAATTTAACACAGACAAATGGGACAGTTTTAACAAAGTCCATTCAAATGATCATTAAAAGGAGACATTTTTAAGACTCAACAAAAATAGACGTGCAAATGCAGAGAAAGAGAAGGTATGACCGATGAAGGACCCCAGGAAATAGCCCCTAGAATATAGTCTCCTTCTCCGTTTGGATTTTTTTCCCATTTCCTGACCTTTAAGTGTTTATCATTGTGTATGAAAAACATCTTAATTTAATAGCTTCTCAAGATTGAGATCCATGCCTTGTAATTTCACTTTACCTTAGTGCCAAGTACAAGCACTCACAGGTGTTGGTGGTGAGTAAAGACAGGTAGGCCTCACTTTGTACAAATGACATTCTGAACAAAAGTTATATATGTATGTATCACAATAAGCCAGCAAGGAATGATTGAGGACGGTAGGCACAGTACCTGGAAAAAGTCCTGGAGGCTGGAATCTAGTCCCAACTCTACCACTAACTTGCTCTATGACCTTGGGCAAATCATTTGCTACTACTCTAGTCCATTTTTCCCATCTGTAAAATGAGGCAGATAAACTAGATAATCACTGAAGTCCCTTCCAGTTCTGATATTCTGTGAAATATTAGTTAAAATATAATAATTAATATTCATTAAGTACTTACCTTGTGCTAGATATTATGCTAAACAATATTTACATGCATTAACTCATTTAATTCTCAAGTAACCTTGTGAGGAAGGTACTGTTAGGGAAGTTAAGGAACTTGCCCAGGGTCACAAAATAGTGCGACTAGGCTTCTAACCCAGACAGTCTGACTTCAGAGTTGACATGCAACCTCCACGCTATATCACTTCTAAATATACAAGTGAAGCTTGGTATTTAAAGATGTTCTACAGGGAATACTTTAGGAAAATAAACAATCATCTCCTAATTTTTCAGCTTTTACGTTCTTACTGCCATGTTGTATAGCTTGAGTGTTTCTCTTTGTTGTTTTTTTAAAAAAATCAGATTATAATTGTATTTGTTGAATGAGTAAAAATTCTTAATTACTCAAGTATCAAGATGAAGAAAGATAGGAAAGGATGAAATTTAATCATCCTTGCCTTTCCTTATCTTACCAGGCTGGTGGTTTCCTAAAGTACCATTGAATAAATTGCTCAAAAATGATGCTATGGAAAAATGGATTAGGTAAATAATATTTTTAAATGTCACTAATTTTGACCTTTCTTTCTCTTTTCACAGTGACTGTTTTGAGCCCAGCAGAAAAAGGTAAGGGGGTATTATAAATTTTATCGGTCAGGAGTGTCTCTCTCTTTCTATCTAAAAGTGAATTACATAAAAGCCTATAAATGGAGCAACTTTCCCAGGAACACACTGAGGTGAGTGGAAAGTTCAGGATGGCAGTTTTCAGGAGCTTACCCAGAGATAGAGCAGAATATATTTTTAGTGGCCCCTTTGGCTATACGACAGAAATTGAAAATTACCAGGATTTATGATAGAGAAAGGCACAGTTAACCACTCTCTTGGCCATAGTAACCCTAGGCTCTCTTTTGGTTCATCACTGTTGTCCTAGGTACCTTGCCTTTTTGCCCAATTCATCTCCTCTTCAAGACGTGGAGTAAGTGCCCCACAGGGGGCTTTTAAGAGTTAAGTCCGTCACCATTGCAGTTCCAATGTATTTACTGTACTCCTCTCCACTCCTCACCCCCATTTTGGCTTGGTCTGCAATTTGTACTACCATTGTAAAGAGACTGAGGCATTTTTCCTTAAAAATGTGTAAGCTAAGCATGAGTCTTAACAAAATTTTAGCTTTACATTATTTTTTCAGGTATTACCTTAAGTATTTACGTAGGCACTTCATATAGCCACCCTTTATTTTCACTTCATGGGAATTAATTATTGTAATTAATTAACTATGTAGCATTCATCTTATGCTGTTTTAAAGCTCCAATATGCTATTAGTCATTTAACAGAAGTGTTGGCTATAGAGGCAACAGAGCAGAGTGGTGGGAAGACAGTAGACCATAGTAGTTAAAAGTATGAACTCTGTGGGCCGGCTCTGTGGCTTAGCGGTTAAGTGCACGCGCTCTGATGCTGGCGGCCAGGGTTCGGATCCCGGGAGCGCCCGGAGGGACCACTTCTCCGTCCAACGCGAGGCCGAGTCCCGCGTACAGCAACTAGAAGGATGTGAACCTATGACATACGACTATCTACTGGGGCTTTGGGGGGAAAAAGCTGAATAAATAAAATCTTTAAAAAAAAAAAAAAACAAAGTATGAATTCTGGCGCTGGACTGTCCAAATTCAAATCCTGACTCCGCTACTTTCTAGTAAATTATTTGACTTCCTTGTGCTCATTTTAGTCATGTGTAGAATATAAATAGTAATACTACCTATTTTGTTGAGTTGTGAAAATTTAATGAGTTAATGCATGTAAAGCACTTAGGACTTTGGTGAGTAAGCATATTCTGATGACTCAGTAAATGTTTGCTACTATTATAGCCTTATAGCAAGTAGTGAGTTGCCTCTTATTCTTATGCCTGGTTCTTAAGGTCAGAGATCATTTTCTGTATATATATACATATATATATACATATATATGTATATATATATGTATATATATATGAAATAATTATAAATAAATATCATTTTCCACAATAAACTTTCAAGACAAGTTGGGTGGGGGCTTAGATGATGCTCTAGCATAATAAGAATAATGACAGCAATATTGTTATTATTATTGGAAACTACAATTTATCGTGCCAGGTACCCTCCTGAGTATTGTATATATATTACATTTTTCAACATTGAATCAGCACAATGATATAGACATTCTTATGTCCATTTATTGAGAGGGAAACTGAAGTTTAGAGAGGTTAAGTAACTTATCCCAGGTCATCTAGCTAGTAAGTGGTAGGATTCAAACCCAGAACTGTGTGACTTCAAAGTCCATGCTCTTAAGCAAATCTGCACTTGTCTTTTACTTTTTGGTCTGCAACTCCCTCATTTGCTTAGTTGAGCTCCTTACTCATAAAGTTGATGCTCAATTGCTCTTTTTTCTGGTGTCCAAAGTACTATATCATCATTTCTTTGTGTTATCAGTGAACTCACCCACACCAGTGTAAAGTGTTATTTGTAAGGTCAGCTCAGTTCAAAGCTTTCCAAGTAGCATCAGTCCAATTACCAGGATCTGAGCTCTTTAGGAGATTGTAACCGCAATGTATGATTTTTAAGGTCCCTTCTGACTCTAGAATTCTGTGACTCCAAAGCACTTTTCTCCTAATAGTTCTTAAATTTATCAATACAGTAAAGAATAAGATTAGATTTTGCTTCTTTATTCTGCAGTGGGGTATAATGGGACAAAGCACAGGATTTAGGGACAGAAGATCTGGGTTGGAGTTCCAGCTCCATCATTTACTAGCTCTATGACCTTTGGTAAGTAACTCAACTTCTCCGAACCTCAATTACTATAAAATGAGGCTAGTTTAATAACGTCTTACAGATTTATTGTAAGCTAGCAGAAGTAAAAGTATACAGCAGTAAACTGCTTTGTAAATGTTAAGCATTAACAATCTCAGTTGTACCATTTTCTGTATGTCAAGATTCTCAAAGACAGTGGAATCCATCAACTAAAATTAGGTTTGATCATAACCAGAAAGTTGAAAGTTAGACTTGTAAAGAGCTTCTGAACATTAGCACAAGTCACTAGGAGATGCCATGAAATCTCCTTTTCAGAAAGTATCAGACACCCAACTCTCTGGCGTGGATCAGTGAGCCATGCCTAGAAGCTAACCAATAGGCATAATGACTATCTGAGGTCCTTTCTAACCCTGTGAATCTGTGACTTATTTCAAATTACACTGCACTATTAAAGTAGAATACGGTATAGCATATGATTGCCAGTAAGAACATTGTTTGGCATAGGCAAAGAAACTATAAGGGGCAAAGAAATGAAAACCTCGAGTCATATAACCTTTTATTCAGTCTCCACAGCCTAAGAAAACCATAGTCAGACATATTGCAAAAGTTTTTCCATTTCTTGTCTGCTTAATGTTTCCTTTACTGGGTTGAAGAGTGTCACTCCAAAATTCATGTCCACCTAAAACCTGTGAATGTGACTTTATTTAGAAATAGGGTCTTTGCAGATGTAACCAAGTTAAGATGAGGCCATATTGGATTAGGCTTGGCCCTAAGATTAGTGTCCTTTTAAGAAGAGGGAAATTTGGATACACAGATACACACGGAGAGAAGACGGCCATGTGAAGAAGGAGGCAGAGATTGGAGTGATGCTGCCACAAACCAAGGAACACCAAGGATTGCCAGGAACCACCAGAAGCTAGGAAGAGGCAAGGAAGGATCCTCCTCTGGAGCCTTCAGAGAGAGCACGACCTTGCCTATACCTTAATTTCAGACTTCTAGCCTCCAGAACTGAGATAATAAATTTCTGTTGTTTTAAGCCACCCACTTTGTGGTAATTTGTTATGACAGCCCTAGGAAACTAATACGATACCTGATAAATTTTAATTTCTAATGCAGTTAAAAGAGCATTGTAACAGTAGAAAATAAGCATAGACTTTGGTGTCAGATGTACCAAGGATCAAATCTTGATTTTACCACTTACTGTATATATTGACCTTGGGGAACTTAACCTCACTAAGTTTCACTTTCTTACTTTGTAAAATGGGGATAAGAATACCTACCTTTTATGGTCGTTTGGAGCACTAAATGAGATGATGTACGTAAGTCTCTTGGTAGTGCTTGGCATATGATGAGTGCAAAAAATTATACAGAATTATACAAAATAGTACAAAATAACTATTATTGTTGTTGTTATTAACATTGGAAAAGACCTAAAAGATCTTTCTTCTAAGAAGCATGACACATTTCAGGACTGTTCCTGATTCCTCCTACTATCCTTGTAAATATATTGTTAAAATCCATGCACTTGTATTTTGTAAGTAGAATAACTGAGACCCAAAGAAGTAAAATATGTTGCCCTAGTCATGCTGATTCTAGTGCACAGAAAGGACTAAAGCCCAGAGCATATGAACCATAGTCCAGAATATTATATATTATGTCATTCTTGATTATATAGGACTCAAAAATTCTTTTTTTAAGACATGAGTCCATATCTTCTTCCATAGATCATACTGAAAAACATAATAATAATGTATTTATTTTGCTTTCACTAGAATGTTTTGCATAGATGATCTCATTCAGCATCATACTGTCTGCATTTTGAAGATCTTGACTGGAAGATCTTTCCTCCTCTACCCCTGAAGTGAGGATCTGAGATGAATTGGAGGTTAGAAATTTAGTAGGGTCCAAGGATGGGGGAGGCTAAAACATGAATTTAGGAATGAGATTAGGCACAATCTGTCAGACAGTCCACATATAATCAAGAGTAATGTATTGACTTCAGTTTTTCATCTTCAAAAGGGCCATTAATCATTTTAAACATAAGTTTAATTCTCTGAGAATTCACTTGCATTTTGAATTGTTTACATACTGAATTCTCTGGTTTCTCCTTTCAAGTTAAAAATGGTTGTAATTATTTACCTTTTTAGAAATAAATGTAATTTCTAAATAATAGAACTGTTGTGGGCTGAATTGTGTCCTCCCCAAATTCATATGTTAAAATCCTAACACCCAGTACTTCAGAATGTGACTGTATTTGCAGGTAGGGTCTTTAAAGAGGTACTTAGGTTAAAATGAGGTCACTAGGGTAGGCCCTACTCAATATGACTGGTGTCCTTATAAGAAGAGGAGATTAGGACACAGACACACACAGAGGGAAGACCATGTGAAGACACAGGAAGATGGACATCTACAAACCAAGAGAGGCCTCAGAAGAAACCAACCCTGCTGACACCTTGATCTTGGACTTGGAGTCTCCAAAATTATGAGAAAGTAAATTTCTGTTGTTTAAACCAGTCAGTCTGTGATACTTTGTTATGGCAGCCCTAGCAAACTAAGACAAGAGCTTATTCAGATTTCCATTTGAAAATTCAGAGCATAGAAATATCTGCTTTGTGTTGGCTTCTTGATTATACTAACTTTAATTTATTGGTGATGTATTAGACACCAGGAGGGTGAGAGGCCCCTGGGAGGAAAAATTTGGGGCCACAGTATGATCTTTTTTACTCACCTCCAGACTGTATAGGAAATCCTCAATTAGGTTTTGAGTAGTTATCCCAGTGCTCTTAATACACTATGTTATATTTATTATTATAAAATTACTTTATAATGAGGATTTGGGAGAGCAGACAA